CGGGTACTGGTGCGCCACTTTTTTTTTGATGGTGATCTCATTTCTCATCTGGGATCAGCCACGCTCGTCGAAGGTCCGACCGACGCCCATCTGGCCTACGTCAATTTACAGCAATCGTTGACCCTGGATCTCCAATGCGGGATCAGTGATAGCATAGCCGCTTGCACAGCTGCCGATGACGATCGTGGACTGCTCTCCATCATCTACGCCACCATGCCTGTGCAGCTATTACTCGTGCAAGGCGGCGGCGGTCCCGCATCTGCTTCATCTACGTCATCAAGTAGCTCGGCGATACCATCCTCGTCGCCTACTTCATCCGCGCCAAAAACCTCCAGCATACCTTCTGGGTCCATCATTACTTCTTCCGTGCCAACGACCACGTCTCCCCCTTTGGTTCTCGATCCAACAGCGTCATCGAGGACATCATCGAACCATGCGAGTACGAGCACCGTGATTCACATATCCCTGAGATTATTCTGTGCAACAGGCGTTGTTGTACTCGGTTTGTTTTAATATGCAATTTGTATAAGACTTTGATGGAGTAACAGTAAGGTTGAGACAGCTTGACGCCTCGACCCATATGTGAGTCACGTGAGAAACATAGAAGTCATCATTCGTGCTACTGTAATGGCAGTTAACCTTCGGTAGCTCAATCGGAAGAGCATGGGACTATAACAGAACATCTGTGGCATCCCAAGGTTTCTGGTTCAACTCCAGTCCGAAGGAAATCTTTTTATCTGTTCAAATGGATCATCGTCATTTTTGTTTTCGGTACAAACTGCCAGTGCTGTCGGTGAGGAGTACGAACTGTTTATTGACGCGTCTCCTATTCTTCCAAATCATGATGGTGTGGTACAATAGGCAATTTTTACCACATGCATCTAGTTCCTCGATCATACCACTGTATTGACAGTCAACCTTTGGTAGCTCAACTGGAAGAGCATGGGACTATAACAGGGCATCTGTGATATCCCAAGGTTACTGGTTCGATTCCAGTCCGAAGGAAATGTTTTTGTCTGTACCCAAATGAACAGCGGTGTGCTTCTCAGAGCCTTCTTTATATTGAGTGGTTGGCGGCCCGGCCTGGCCAGGTACAGTTGAGACTGACGATGAGCATTTGCGCAGCAACTATGACTCGGAGACATCTCTTCGACCTATGTATGTGACCATCAGAAAAATATCCCAGCTGCTTTGGTTGGATGTTGGATCTGGGCAGATAGAGAGACACTCGCTTGAGCCCAAGTTCTGACAAAGCGTGCCAGCACACGACTACGGGTCAAACCGTCTCGAGAGCACACCCCGACGAGACCTTCGTTCCCTCCGTCATGGTCGTGTCATCACATTTTCCAATGAGCAGCCTTATGTCGCCTCTCCGACCACCCGGCAGTGTATCTTAACTTAGGTCCGACAGGACGGACAGGACCATCCCCACTCGCGCCTTGCGCCTCGTTGCCACAGTCGTCTGCTCGAGGAGCTTTGGCGATTATGACGATTACTTGGAGAAACTGGGCGTTCAAATTTTAAGCAATGGTGTGGTATAGACAGCGCTCAACTCGCCTCCGCCGCGGGGATAGGGTAGTGAACTCAAGTTGGTACTTCTATGTTCTCCTTTAGTTTGAACTTCGTACGGTACACTAATTTCGGACTCGTTAGAGATGACCTTTTTTTAGGAGTTCCTCGTGTTTATGCTGTTACCTCATCTTCTCTAGTGACGCGCCTTCCATCGCCCCTATTTCACCCTCCCTCCCACCCCCCTCCTTTTTTTCAGGCTGGGTCAACCGACGCCAGAATGGATGTGATACTGATGCTGCTAGACGATATGCGAGAGAAAGCGTGGTTTCCTAATACACACCTCAATACGCAGTCCACAAGCCAGATTAGATTGAGCTCATTCCCTCTCAGGCTTCCTATCAACTTCTCCGTAACTTGGGCGTGTTTCGTTGATTCCTTCAGAAAGACCTACTTCCGAGCCCTTGCCATGCTTCAATAAAAAAAAACCAGCACTGGGCCAGCACATTCTGCCGAAGGGGCCTACTCTGTCCCCAAAGGCGAGCAAGATGAGCCCAGACAGCCTGAGGAAGTTGGACATACCCGGCCGTGACCGGGCCGGTATACACTGTCGTGTGAGAAAAATTGCTTCACGTTGACTGCTTTCAGCGCTCAGCATGCACAGCCTCTCTGTCTAACGGCCCTATAACCACCTATCAACCCTCCTCCCTTCGTTGTCATCACATCCTTCGATGGGCCCTCATATGTACATCAAAAGCAGCGTCATTATTTCCAAAGGACCAGACTCTGTAAGCACGGTTCAAAAACGGGGTTCGTGTTCAAGTTATGAGCTCTTCTCGCAATGATCTCTTAGTGTACGTTGCAGACCACATTTCACCACGTGTTACGATGGATGCGATCCCAGACGATATTCTCCTAGATATCTTTGATTTGTGCCTCCAGGGATTAGAAGACTATCCGGACTCTCGGGCGAAGAACTGGAATAGGCTTGCGCACGTATGCCAAGGGTGGAGATACATCGTGTTTGCGTCCCCACATCGTCTCAATCTGTGCCTTTCCTGTACAGAACATACTCCTGTGAGGGAGACGTTGGATGTCTGGCCCCCCCTGCCTATTGAAATATTGTCATACCGCTTGGACAATAACATCTTTGCTGCCCTCGAGCACCGCGACCGCGTACGCAAGGTTTCGCTCCTTAGAATACCACGGAAGCATATAGTCGCGTTGATGCCGGAGCCATTTCCGGCACTGGAACGCCTTTCTCTTGCGACAGATTCGGTGAATGATAATAATCCGCCGGTGCTTCCCAGTACTTTTTTAGGTGGATCCGCCCCACGCCTAAAGACACTCTTTTTGCGGTGCATTTCACTTCCGACATTACCCCAACTTCTTTCGTCCTCAAATGACCTTGTCGATCTCTCCCTTCAGCGAATCCCGCATGGTGGTTTCATTTCACCTGAGGCGATGGCAACCTGCATCTGTGCTTTGAATAGGCTCACGAACCTTCGCATCAGTTTCAGTCTCGATTGTCTGGCTTTTCGCCCCCGCATTGATCGAAGAACCGAAGGACCCTCCCCACTGACACGCACCGTCCTCCCCTCTCTCACCAACTTCGAGTTCCACGGTGACAGCAGGTACTTGGAGTACATCGTAGCCCAAATCGACGCTCCCGTACTCAAAAACGTCGATATATCGCTCTTCGATTTAGCACTCTCCAATCTTCCCATCCTTGACATACAAAACCTTGCTCAGTTCATCGATCATTCACCAACACTCATGTCATACAATCGCGCGGAGATGGTCCTCGGCTTTGGTCAACTAGAGCTCAGGCTTCTTCCAACAATGAAAACAAGTCGCGACGGATTCTTTTCGACAATCCGATGCAACGATGCAAGTTTGCAACTCCCGTGTATGGCACAAATATGCGCCCACTTTTCGTTCCTGCTGTCCGGCGTCAAAAAACTCGATATTGAGGGGCGGCGGACATGCGTGCAAGCTGACATAGACGACGCCAAATGGCTGGAACTTTTCCACCTGTTTTCTTCTGTCCAGACCCTGCAGATATCTCGCAGGATGCAGCCATGCATCGTGTCGGCGCTGGAAGGGCTCAGTGGGGAATCAGCGACAAGGGTATTACCGGCATTGGGCGATCTTTACCTACAGGAAAAGTATCTTCCACCGGGATCTGGATCGGAGCAGAAAGACATTGGACGATTTATAGCCGCACGTCAGTGTTTAAATCGCCCTGTCACTGTCCATTACTTGGAGGAGTTGTCGCGGTATAAGTAAATGACGGCAAAGGTAAGTGCCATCCATTTTTGTTCCATCAGAGCTCAATGTTGTCTACAATTCCCATCTATTAGTCCACCATGCTTTATGGTGAATAAAGAACTTATCTTGCACGAGCGCAATGCAATATGATGTGACATTTGTGATGCCATTGCGCATTGTAATGTGGACTCTGCGTCTGCCTTGACTTGGACACCGCATCTACCCCAACTTTGACCCATTTTCGACTACCTCAACCTCAACCGACTTCAACCAGATCGAAACTTTCCAAGCAACGCCTCAAACACACTCATCTATACATACCAGGTATTACCCGCTGCTGGAGCCTCAATAATACCCTCTTTGGACTTCTTACTTTGCTTGATGACTTGCACCTCTTAACTCCTTTCAGATGTTCCTTTTATGACTGCTGCTATGAGATGGCGGTTGGATCGCGTTTTGCCAATTCCACCAGCCCCATTTTTGGACTATCGAGCGTGGTTACGCGAGGCTCAAGTCCATCGGGGGTGCCCGAGCAGCCCGACGCAGTGTCCTTACAGCCAAAATCTTACATGCTTTTGCCAACCATACCATTTTCTCTGCTTCCCTTATACTCTTGCATATCATACCATACCCTGATGTCTTGAGTAAATAAAGCTCAATGGCCTGGAAGAGCATCCAATAAATCACACATCAATTTGGATCATTCTCATCTGCTTTTCTTATAAGTTCTAAGCTTGGCTCTTTTGTCTCGTTCGATCTAATATTTGGCTCGTAACATTCCTACGCTTTGTCTCAAGATTTCCATCTCCAAGTATTCCTGCGCACGTCCCTCTGCCCCTCTTTGGCGTCCTCTTTACGCCCTTTTTTAACTCGCCCGTTCTCCTTGGAGTACATTCAGCATGAGGTAGTGGATAGGGTGTATGCAGCCGCATGGACAAGATGATGAATTTTACCCCTGGATTTCAGAAGCCGTGTCCAGAAAAGGCTTTTCGTTGCCCCGCCATCTCCTTTTCCTCGTGCGTGGCCGTTGCTGCCTCATCCCTCTGAAAATCATGGAAATTTGACGGCCCCATATAATATGATATAGGTCGAAGAGATGTCTTATAGCTCAGTTTGATGTGTCGTGCAGATGCTCATCCGTCGTGGTCTCAGCTGTACCTGGTGGCGAAACCGGGCCGCCAATATAAAAAATTCTCTCCGTTTAGGTAGAGACAAGTATTTCCTTCGGACTGGAATTGAACCAGCAACCTTGGGATGTTCTGTTTTATAGTCCCATGCTCTACCAGTTGAGCTACCAAAGGTTAGCTGCCAATACAGTGGTATGTATGATGAACACCGGCGACCCTCAGCCCTCATGTTAGAATTCCTCCGCATCACATCAAGCCCTTGATCGCTCCCGGAGTGTATTAAACCAAATCAATGTTCAAATCACTGCATGTCACACGAAATAATCATATCTGAACACCAGATATCGTAACATTAGGAAACTCGCACTAAACGTTTTTGGGCTCGCTTGAACGAGCCAGAAAAGGCGAGAAAGTAGCAAAAAGCGCAAAGTATTATTTGAAAGTAACTTAACCTAGAATTATCCCAAAAGTTGGTTTCTGCTGTATTTTCAAAAATAAAAAAACTAAAAAGGCCGAGAAAGAAGTTGTTTTACAGACAATCCATAGCACAAATGAAGTGAAAATGTTTTTGCACGATTTGCTGATGAAGTTCACTTTCAAAACAAAGTCAAAGACGAGAGTTCAACCGAAAAGAGAGAAACGAAGAACAAAAAAAGGCGATCTCAATCGACTAGAGAGTCCGAAACCCCGACTACCCGTTCCGATAGAAAGGGAGTACGTGCCAGGGTATGTATCCACGACTGTGACACGACGTCCCAGATCGACAGGTCGTACATAGAGGGTGTGAGTGTGACGGTCCGCGACGCGCCCGGCTACAGCTCCACGTCCGTGAAGCCGCGAAGGACAGATGGAGGCTCTCCAGCGAGAACGGGGAAATACAAGTACGCCTACGGAATCTGCACGTATCCCCCATTTTAACAAGAGAGACAAACGCACCGCGACGCGTCCGATATTCTGCACCCTGACAGATACGTTGAACGCTAGGCGGAGCAGCCAGAGCGCTGTGGAGGCGCTGATTACCTGTGGGCCAGGCTTGCCCCCCGCCAAGTTTGTCTCCCATAGCCAAAATGCCGTCCACACCACCTTGGTCGCTGAACTCGTTCGGTCCCGTAATAGGGCGGGAGCGGTCATTCACGTTCTTGAGCAGTACAGTGCTCGCGGCGCCAATCTCCCGCACGAACTTTCAGTGGTCATCTTGTACGTAGATGTGCCCGTTCGTCGCCTCTTCGAGCGGCTTCCACGCGTTGAAGTTCGTTTTAGGGTAATCTGGAGAGTCCTATTCGAGGAGGTACCACGGCGCGATGATGCGTGTCGCCATGTCGTCTCCGTGTGCCTCTGGGATGGTCCCGTTAAGCACGGACTCGGTGAGATTCGCACCAAAATAGCTCGTGCCAGTTGAACGTGGTGTTGCAGGGCATGGTCATGTCCGACCCATACATCGCGTTGACCGCGGATTCTGTCGCTGACATCACGAAACCTTGGAACTCTTGCTTCAGAATGCCGTTTAGGGTGTACGGTTGTTCTGGCAGGCGCAAGTTCCGTTGACGAGGTTGAAGGAGCACATGACCGAGGTCAGGTCGGCCACACTACGCAAGAACGTAAATCTCGTGCTCCGTCCGGTAGTCCACATTCGAATTCCCCTGTATGCGCTCGATCTCCTGTTCACTGTGCCGAGTCGCGCGTTGAAGCCCGTCAAAGTCCGTTGGCTTAAACTCCCGGTGAATGAATCGCACTTACTTGTTGATGAAGTGCTTTGCGCGCGTCTGAGCACCCGCATATTGAATCTCGAGGATATCCTCATACGAACCAACACCAGTCAAGAAAGGGTCAACGCCGACTCCTTTCCAATTCCGCCCGCCTTGGACAACCTGTCCCATGTTCGTCACCGGGCCGAGGACAATGTTGATACTCTGAAGTGTGATGTTATCGGACTGTTGTTTGTTTAAGGCAGGTATCGTTAAGAGCTAGTGGCGTATACATAACCATCCACATCTAATAAACTTTACCAGTCAACGAGTGCTCTCTGACAACTATACATTGAACTGAACCAGAGTCGGTACCAGACTACTCGGGATCTCCTCCCATCTCGTCAACATGTCGTATGCAATGCCCCACTGAGCTTGACACGACAGTATGAGGCATTGTATTGACGTTCCCTGTGTTGAAAGAAGCCGATGGAGTGGGGACCGTGACATAGTCCTCAGATGATGTGACCCAGCTTTGTCACGTGGCTCCAAACATCTGCAAAGATCTGTAATTCAAAGCACACAATGTTAAATCGAGCCTAACTTACTGACCCCTGACTGCCAGCTGCCAAGTAAGACGCAACCAGGTGAGAGAAGTTCACTCATAGTCGTGAGGATACTACTCTACATATCTGGTTGCTCTTTCGATTTGCCACAAGACTGATAATGGCCAACCTCATCCGATCTGCAAAGTCAATCAACGGTTGGAGTGATTACGAGCTGATCGCGTATAACATTACTGTGATTGCTCAGTCGCCACAGGAATTCTTTCGTGGGAACACAACACCGCCCTTAGACGATATAGATCCTTTACTCATCAACTCCAAGATCGATGCGGTCGATGTCGCTGACGACATTTTCCAATATTTCACACACCTTGACTTGGCCACCGATGGTGGTGGTCTTGAAAGCTTCATCGATGACTTCGCTCGGGAGACCCTCCACATCCTCGGATACGTAGAGCGGGGACTGTGCCTAAGCACGCAATTCATGATCCCGCTGACGATCTGCGGTGAAGACACCCTCGCAACAATGGATGTTTGTTTGGTCGTTCGACAACCAATGGTCTTACTTGTTTTGCAACAGGACAAGTCCATATTCGATCTGTCACAACGACCTGAACCACAAATAATTGCAGATGCGATTGCTGCATATCAGTATAACAACAGGAGACGGAAGATTAGCGGACTTCCCACCCTGGATGCCATGACAATTCCCTGCATCATCATGGATGGCACGCGACCCACCTTCTATTTGGTCCCAGTTACTCAAGCACTCAGCATCGCAGTTGTGACCGGCCAATACCCTGAAACTCCAACCAAGGTTGTCAGGTGTGTTACGTCTTTAGGACCCAGACGTTCAAGTGGTGAAGGCATGAAGACGCTGGAGTATAGGCGAGTTGCTTTTCAGCGTTTCATTGCGTTCAAAAGCCTTGCCAAGGAATATTGGCAGACATTCCTTGTCTGAGCCACATTGTGTATGTACTCAGCCAGATTGTTCAGATTCCTCCGAGGGTTGACTCGAGGCCCGTAGGTAAATCTGGCCTGCTATAAAGCATTGTTTTTCGGTCTTTCGGACCACTGGATGACTAGCCAAGTGGCCGCTTGCACGCGTCAGGTTCCCCCTTTGATATGATGGTTCATCAAATTTCTTTTACGCGTCCGGTCGCTGTGTTTTTACTCTTTTCACGTCCTTCCGCATTTAAAGGACGGCCACCTCAGTGGTGACAGTAGCATGTACGAGGAATTCCTGTCGTAGCAGGGAAAGATGGTCCTGTATTGTTTGACCTTCCCGTCGACTTCTTCAACGAATCAAAGCACGCATTCCTAAAAAAATCACGTGCTGATAATGAGTACCAAAGACGAGACTTGTTACAGAATGCAGGACACGTTGGACCCTATGCTTTCCGTGACCATCTTACTCATCCTGATGACGTCCCGTCCACGTTGTCTCTATTGTGCTGACTGTTCTATTGTTCTGATTGTGCTATTGTCTGTCCCAGTTAGTCCAGTGTTATTGTTCCGAGTCTCTATTGTCCTCGCGTTCTATTGTCTTGACTCCTTGCTTATTGTCCACCCTAGTTTGGTAGAACAATTAGCGTACATTGTATAAGTAGGCCTCAGCTGGTAGCTTGTACCCCAGCTTCGGCTTTGACTCCAATCGACTCGTTTCACCCTCTCCTGAGTGAACAAAGAACTCCCCTCTATTTTCCCTTCTCTTCTCTTACCCTCCTATACGCCCTAGTAGGGCCGTCGAAGCTTGGTGGTTGTGCTACAACACCACAGGGTTCTGCGCGTCGTCACCTTGCGTGACCCTGAACCTAGATCTTAGGAGAGATCAGAACTCTTGAACCCTAGTTGGGACCCAGCCCTAGTCGAGCCGTAACAAAAGCCGAAGCTCTTCCTTAGTAGATGTCCACTGGGGACTATCTACAACAACCAATCTATCTGCGGATCAAAGAATTGTTGATCGACGCACACTTGAACAAGAACGAGGCGATACAGAAACAGTATAACGCCAAACGAAGATCGGAGCAAAGGTGCTGGAAAGAAGTCAGCATTTCCTGTGTACGCACCATTGGATACCTGGAAACAATCTTGGGTGCAGGAACAGAGTTGTTCCAATCTGAACAAGGAAACATGTTGATCCTCTACCTACCGGGGGATCATATTGCCTTCCATACGCAAGGCTGGACAGGAATAACGACGGGTCTTTAATCGTTATCTGGGATACAAACGAAGACAACCTAGGAACGAGGGTCGTTCCCAGAGAGGACGACGACCTAACCATCGAACAGAAAGGAAGCATCAGATTCTTGGAAGAAAGGAGACAAACGCACCAATTATATCAGAAACCGACAACCTATCACTCCTATCACGTAGAAGAAGGGTCGAGAACCAAGTACAGATCCCCCTGCGAATTCATCAACAACTGGTGGTACAACATCTATTGGTCAAACAGCGAGTACTGGACTGATCCCACCATGAAGTTCACCAAATACGACCATATCCTCAATGAATTAGCTCTTCCCTCTTCCTTGCAACCATCAGAAGCCAGCGAAAACGAAAGTGAGGACGAAGATGAAGCAACATCCCCCCAACAGGACTCGGTGGGAGCAAACTCCTCCTCCAATGACAGCCAAAACAGGGAACCTCCGCCTACGCAAGAAAACGAAGAACCAAGAATGATCACGCCAGTCACCCCCATAGACCAGGCCATGAGTGCCCTTAGCATCACTTCGCCAACCCCCATGTTTACCCGCTCGGCAACTTTAACACAGCCGACCCAAACCACGACAATGGCAGGGCCAAGCCAGAGTGGTGGCGGTGGTGGTGGTGGCGGAGGCGGGGGTGGAGGAGGCGGGGGTGGAGGCGGGGGCGGTGGGGGCGGAGGCACCGCAGCTGCAGCCGCCGGGGCTCAACCAGTTGC